TAAACCTGTGCTAGTTTTTGTATGAATAAATATCTTTATATGGATCCAACAACATAGACTTGCGTTACAAAATGTCCACCATAACTTTACCATTAAGAATCCTATGATAAAAGGAGTTGTGTTGAGGATTGTCTCTTTGGCTTTAAATTTAATAATTAATGTGTTAATTCTTGTCCAAAAGGAATGTATGTTAAGAATAATTTCTGTATAAGTTGCCCTTAGACTTGCGAAGAATGTACTTCAGCAACAAATTGCACTTTATGTGGTAAAGATTATTTTTTAGAAAATGGACTTTGTTAGTTAAGTTGTTTAGCTGGTAAAACTGATTATAAAAACCATACATGTGTCTCATAATGTGATCCATCATTATTTGAATATCAAAATTAATGTTTAGAAAGTTGTCCCACAAATCCAGTAGTTTATTATCATTCAAATATTTGTATGGATGCATGTCCAAATAGTACATTCTAGAACAATTAAGAATGCTTGGATTGCGATGTTTCATGTTCATCATGTGTAGGCCCATCAAACAATGATTGCTTAGTTTGCAAAGAAACCTTTTATTTGCTTGACTAAAAATGTATTCTCTCTTGTCCTTATCTATATAATGAAGTAGAAAGATCTTGTGTTATTTCTTGTCCTCCAAATTTTTTTTAGAATGGGAGTAAGTGTTTTTAGATTTGTAGTTAATACAGGTACTTTGATACTTGTGTGTCAAGCTACTCGCAAGCAACATACCATTCAAAAAATTTTATCTGTTATGATTGCTCTTAAGATTGTCTTGAATGCGATTCTTTTGGCTGTCTTAAATGTGGAAATGGATCATTTTTAAATGACGGAATTTGTAGTAATTATTGCCCATACTTTTACAATATTATCTTAAATCAATGCGAGGAATAGTGTCCAAAAGAAACATTTCTTTATATCGATCAATGTTATGCATCCTGTCCAATCAATACATATACATATTTCTAAACATGCCTTTTAGACTGTCCTTGGAAAACTGTTGCAATAGGTTCTATATGCTACTAATGCCCAGAGAGATGTTCAGTTTGTACAAATTAATATGAATGTCTGAATTGCAACCCACCTTATTACGAATATAAAGGAGAATGTGTAGTAGCCTGTCCAAAAGTACTTCCCTATTAGAATAAAGTTTACCATGTATGTTAATCAGAACGTTCTCCAAATACATATGAAAAAGGATATGATTGTATTAAAGAATGTGATTTAATTATCTTTTAGAATAAATGTTTAAAATAATGTCCCTACGGATATTATGGTAATACTATATTCAAAGCATGTAAATTGGAGTGTAAGGCTTGCACTGATTTTAATATATACACAGAATGCTCAGACAATTTTTACCTTGAGCATAATTCATGCGAGACATTATGTACAAGAATCAAAGATTTGAAATAAAAAAAGTGTGTTGATTCATGTTCCTTGCTTTTATATCAAAATGTATGCTATGAAAGTTGTCCTGTAAATTAATATACAAATACTTGTCTACAAAAGTGTTTAGATGGATATTTTTGTTCGACAGAATTCAAATGTGAACAATGTCCTTCTTAATGTATCACATGCTTAACGTTTAATTAGTGTAACAATTGTAAAATTGGATATTACTTATATCAGCAATAAAGTTTAGAATAATGTCCTGATAAATCATTTTCAAATCCATTAATTAGTTAATGTTCTTAATCATGTCCAGATAAAACTTATCTTATTAAAAATTAATGCTTGTATGAATGTCCAAGCGATTATTTCAACGACACTGAAAGTTATAAATGCGTTTTATCTTGTAAAAAGCAACAATATCTTAATAAAAACAGTTGTTATCCCTGCTCTTTTGAATGCGATTAATGCACAGCATATGGAAATTAAAATTGCATAGCATGTGCAACTAAATACGATTTAACTGAAGATGGACTTTGTTTTTGAAGATGCAAAGCAGGTTATTACTAAACATCAAACTCTTGTGAAAAATGCTTACATAAATGCCTAACTTGTTAAAATGGTACAGAATGTTTATAATGCAGAAGAAATAACAGAAATCAACTTGATTGCTCATGTCCAAAAGGATTTTATGACGATCCATTTTATGATAATTGTTAAATATGTCCATGTGAGGAATGTACTTCTGAATCTCGGTGTCTAGTATGCAAAAATAATCTCTAAGTTCCCAACTGTTCATGCAACAGGAGACTTAATGAAGATTGGTGTATTACTTGTCAAATAGCATCTGTCAATATATAGTTTTTTTTTGACGACCTAAATTCAATAATAGTTTATTTTGGATATTTGATATCCGTTAATTTAATTAACCCTTTCTAACCCTCAAGTTGTTCCTTTTGGTTTAATAAAGCTGAAATATTTGGAAAAAATGTTTAATGCTTTTTGTCATGGGGCAGGTATGTGGTTCACATCTTATTGGAGCCATACGCCTCTGTAAATATTGGAGATAAATTGAGTTTCTAATAATCTTTCTATCGAGATGTGAATGAAGGTCTTTGTGATGGACAATACGTTGAGACATTTATTGATAGTACTGTGAAGGGCCCATCAGCTTAAACTAAACCTTATGTACTTTTTTTGTTGTAAGTATTGTCTGCTTTTTTAATAGATTTCCTAATTGTATTCAATTCATTTTACAATACTTGTAAGACAATTGAAGTTAAATAAATTTTACTGGGTGGAACAGCAAAGAAGATTCAAAAAGTATTATTTTGGACTCTTCACGAAATGGATAATGAGAATAATTATTTATAAATGGATGCATTTTTGGCAGGTCAAAAAATGAATTCATTATTCCTACCATAACAGCCAAATATATAAATTGTATAAAAAGAGTGAATTTCACAACCTTCACATTCACTACACTACCAGATCTAGTTCCTTATGTTTTTCTATAATATAATCCTTTGAGGGCTAGGATTTATGTTTTCGATTGTAAAAAAACATATTCTGATATGGAAAATGAATTTAATTTGGCCATTCAAATTTCGGATTCCGATAATAGAACTTACATTTCCATATAGCAATCCATTAACCCCATTTATGAAGTCCCATTAAATGAATCTCTATTACCAAAGGAAACCCCATTACTTTTTGTTGCATCAACAAGAAACTCTGTCATTCAAGAAAAGTTTTATCTAAAATCCAAAAAGATTGACATTTAATTTCTTTAAAAGGATAGATTCATTGGATGAGACAATTCAATTAATGCAAGAGCCTTTGATAGAAATATATAAGATGAAGTGTTAAGTACATTAAATATTGAATATTAATGGTAGTGCAATAATCTATTCAATTTATAATCTTGTAAGACAAAAAGAAAATAAAATAATGGAATTTCCATCCAGAAGAATTGCTGAAATTTTTGCAGATAGTTAAAATACTACTTTTGTCTTCTTTGTTAAGGCATCGAAAGATAATAGATGGGCAGTAAAAGAGCAATTGATAGTTGTCACAGATTTAGAAATCGAGGAAGAATTTGTATTAAATTAAGAAATCCCTCAAAATGCTGTCAATCCTAATGATGAAATAACTATTTTAATTAGAAATAATTAAAAACATGCTTTCGTTATGTAAGAATTCAAAATTTTGGCATTTATCAAAACTACAGGATGCACTGTTAAGTTTAGGCTCACGGGATTAACAACCAATTACAATAGTCCTGTGTACATATATCTAGTCCCAGGCAATGAATCTATAGCATTTCATCTAAACAGCCCTCCTTCAGAAGTTTAATTCAATATAGATCCTCTTCTAGGCGAATCTTTAGATTACTTTAACTATTCTATGCAAAACTTTCAACCCGAAAATACTTTTAGCATTTATTACTATTTTGACAAGCTTACTCTCTAAAATGATGTAAACCTATAATCAGTCAATAATGGCATCCCCTTGGTGATTAATTCGCAAGAATTGACAGGTTCCTTCTAACTTCCAAATGGAATTATTGATGATGCAATATCCGTTCTTTTTTAAATTGAATCAGCAATGGGATCAAAATCCTATTTAGTATAAAAAATGATCAGACAAATAAATTATGCTAATCCTTCAATAATCAAACTAATTTTTCAAATTTGCAAAGTATTGATAACTATGACTAAATTAATGGAAATTGAATAATAATAGGTATGTTTGAAACAATGTTCAGGTGTTGGTACATGCATCGACAAAAAGTGCAAATGCCCTCCAGAATATTATTTTGATGATTGCAGTGGAACCATAGAAGAGTACAATAATTTTAGCAGCCTTATTTTCAATGCTTTGCAATAATTAATTAAAATTCCAATAAAAAATGATGATGAGCTTAGATTATTTAGCTAATCTTTATTGTATTTATCCACTCTAAAAGATTTAAATAATACAATTTCAAATTCAAATTGCTAAAAAATATTAGAATAATACATTTAAAATCTTAATTCAAGATTAGAAAAAATCCTGCTTATCTGAATTACTCTCAAATTGATATAAGATCACTGGAAAATTAGAATGATTTACACACAGCCTTAAAGAGCACTGTATTTATGTGGGCTAAAACTTTATTTACCGAAGACTCTGCTGTCTATTAATTGCAAAGTCGATTAAAAAGCTTTTTGTCAGCCATAATAGAATTATCTCGATTTGGTATTGAACTTAATGGATCTATCGATTACTCATTTGATACTGCTTTTTTAAAAAAATGTAACGAATTAAAAATATATCCAATATCGCAAATGGAAGACTATTAGTGAATCTACTGAAGATTATTCCAGAGATTCCGAATACTATGACGTTGTTTAAGCTATATATATTCGAAATTACTTTGCTTTTGATGGTTACTATCCTTATCCCATATAATTATATCCACATTATGATTACTAAATACGTCAATAGAATAGAAAATAAAATATTTAATTATAAACATATATCTCCTACAATTTTAAAGTACTGAATGATACTGCAAATCTTGTTTGTTTAATGAGAAATTCTTAGACGTATGAATGGTCAAATGAAAATTGCACACTTCATGAATCTAATACATCCTATTTTTGTAATTGTACAACACTTGCTCCAACAACCATGTGCAATGATTATGACTACCTTTTTTAAAGCTCCCCTTAATTCTAATTGAATATTCCCAATCTTTTATATATTATTTACTTTGCATAATTAATCATATTAGGAATATTTTTGATTAAAGCAAGGAAGTCTCAGTATGAAAAATCTATAGAGAAGAATAAGTTTGGTTAAGTTCTAAAATTGGCAAAACGTAGTAAAGTAAAGATCTTAGGAAAAAAAATCGTTCCTGTTGATGATGAAATAGTAGTAGTTCCGATTGAGTAAATATAAACTCAAAATCCATAAGAACAAACATATAAAAATAAATTTAGTTTTAATAACTTTTGGGTACTTAATATATGTTAATTATAGAAATATCATTTTTTAACTTCAATGATATTTAAAAAAATTTGTTACTTGAGCTCATTTCATCGATCTGTTTTGATTTTATTGAGGTGGAATCAAGCTATTATTATTGGAGAAGTTTTAAGTATTATTGGATTCAATTATGATATTTCTATGTGGATCATCTTGTCATTAATCATTTTTAGTCGAATTTTTGAATACATTTACAAAGTAATCAATTTATTATGATTTAGACTTAAGTCAAATACTTTTTTTATATGAAATAAGAAATAATTCTTTTTATCGTTAAATTATTTTAATTCTTGTTAATGTTAGGCACATATATATTTGGAATATATGTCTATTTAAAAATCTAGGATTAAACAGATTTGGTATTAAATACTGATTAATTATTAGATAATTTCATATACCTTTGCCATCTTAATTGATTTTCTATTGTTAGATATCATCTAATTTAGCGCCAATAAATTTTTTGGATAAGAGAAGAAAAAATTAATTAGAAAAAACTTAGAGAATTTAAATTTATAGCAAAGGCATAGAGCATCAATTGATAATGATATTATTTAAAATCCCATCTGAGATATATATATCTTTTTCATTTTTAGGTATTAATATTAATAAAAATAAAATTAATTTTAATTTTCCGACAAAAAGATAAAAGTTTGATGGGAGAAGCCTCATTTACCTATGTCGCTGCTAAGGTTAGGTCTTTGGAGTATGTGTAAATTGCTAGAAGTGGAGAATTTGGTGTAGAATTAGGTAGTATTGGATCTACTGAAAATAATCACATAAGAGCTGATTTGTCAGATTAAGAAGGAAATGCTTAAAGAATAATTTAAATCCATGGTAAGAACTAATAAGTATCTAAATTCAAAGTATTTGGATAGAAACGAAACCAGATGAATTATCTTTTAGATTTCAATGCTAAATTTAGATAATTTATGATGTGATCCTCTAAATTTTGATTGAAATTTTAGCCTGACTTTTAAACGAGTCAATCGTTAAAGTCAAGTCAATCTCAGTGAAAAAGACACAAGGTTCCCTATTAGCCCCTTGTTATTTGATATCTACTTTGATCAATAAATGGATGAACTTGAAAAGCTCTCTTTTAAATGCATATCAAGTTTCAGTTAACCCTCAAGATTGAAATTAGGTTAAGATAATAATTAATTAACGAACATTAACACAAATTAGTACTTCTTCCACCATGAGAATAAAGGAGAATAAAATAACATCCTAAAACACGAAAATATTTATAAATAAAAAATATATTTTTTGAAATATTTCGAAATTCTGAAAAATCTAATTGATCTTATATTTAATTTCATTAATTCTCTAAATTTTAGGTACGATTTTAGGGTTCCAAAATGTTACTACCTTTAAATCTTAATACTTGTAATAAGTCAACACCTTAATAAGTTATAAATTATCCTTTCAAGATTAAAGCTCCTTATGCCTAAAATATCATTGATTGAGAAATAAGGAGAGTAGAAATATTAGTTGTAACATCTAAAATTTTATTCTATTATTTGATATTAAAGTAGTCTAGAACATCTGTGTAATTTTCATCCGATCTTAAAATTTCTTTCCCTGTATTAACCTCCCACAATTAAGTGGATTTATCATAACTCTCTGTCAATATGATATCAGAATTAGGAGAGAAGATTAATTATTTGATTGCACGACTATCTAAGAGAGCTTTTTGTTCTTCTGACTTAACGTCCCATACGCGTATACTGCTATCTGCGCTTCCCGAAGCTAATTTCGTGCTATCAGAAGTGAAGCATACTGAGAAGATCCAAAAATTATGACCATCTAATTTGGCATTTTATTCTCCTGTCTTAGCATTCCATAAACGTATAGACTTATCTGCACTACCAGAGGCAATTTTAGTACCATCAGGAGAGAAAATAACTGATAAAACAGGACTACTATGACCATCTAATTTGGCTTATTATTGTCCTGTCAACACTAACCATAAACGAATAGAATTATCCCAACTACCCGATGCTAATATAGAACCATCAGGCGAGAAGCATACAGAGTGGACATAATGAGTATGACCATTTAATTTGGCTTATTATTTTCCTGTCTTAACTTCCCATAAACGAATTGAGTTATCTCCACTACCAGATGCTAATGTAGTTCCATCAGGTGAGAAGCAGACTGAGTAGACATAATGAGTGTGTCCATCTAATTTAGCTTATTATTTTCCTGTCTTGACTTCCCATAAGCGGATTGAGCTATCCCCACTACCAGATGCTAATGTAGTGCCATCAGGCGAAAAGCATACTGAGTGAACATTATGAGTATGACCATCTAATTTAGTTTATTATTGTCCAGTCTTAACATCCCAAAGTCGAATTGAGTTATCATCGCTACCAGAAGCTAATATAGTACCCTCAGGAGAAAAGCAAACTGAAATGATAGAATCATTATGACCTTCTAATTTTGCCTTTTATTTTCCTGTCTTAACATCCCATAATCTAATAGATTTATCTTCACTACCGGATGCTAATATAGTACTATCAGGAGAGAAACATACTGATCGGACATACTTGCTATGAAAATCTAAATTAGATTATTATTATCCCATCGCAACATCCCATAAATAGATAGACATATCTGCACCACTTGATGCTAATATAGCACCATCAAGTTAGAAACAAACTGAATTTACAGTATTAGTATGACCATTTAATACAGCTTTTAATTGTCCTGTTTTAATTCCCCAAAGACGAATAGTGTTATCATCGCTTCCAGTAGCTAAAGTAGTACCAGCAGGTGAAAAGCATACAGATAATACAGATCTACTATGACCATTTAATTTGGCTTATTATTTTCCTGTCTTGACTTCCCATAAACATATTGAATTATCCCTACTGCCAGATGCTAGTATAGTTCCATCAGGTGAGAAGCATACTGATTAGACGTAGTGAGCATGTCCATCTAATTTAGCTTATTATTTTCCTGTCTAGACTTCCCATAAGCGGATTGAGCTATCCCCACTACCAGATGCTAATATAGTGCCATCAGGCGAAAAGCATACTGAGTGAACATTATGAGTATGACCATCTAATTTAGTTTATTATTGTCCAGTCTTAACATCCCAAAGTCGAATTGAGTTATCATCGCTACCAGAAGCTAATATAGTACCCTCAGGAGAAAAGCAAACTGAAATGATAGAATCATTATGACCTTCTAATTTTGCCTTTTATTTTCCTGTCTTAACATCCCATAATCTAATAGATTTATCTTCACTACCGGATGCTAATATAGTACTATCAGGAGAGAAGCATACTGAATTAACAGAGCCTTTATGACCACCTAATTTGGCTTTTTATTATCCTGTTTTCGCATCCCATAAACGGATAGATTTATCTTAACTACCAGATGCTAAAGTACCCCCATTAGGAGAGAAGCAAACACACCAGACTATACTAGTATGACCATCTAATTTATTTAGTTCAAGTATTTTTAAATTTTTCCATTTACAATTAAATAACTAAGCTCCATTCAAGTTCATTCCACTAATATCTACATTTTCAAAAATAGATCCATTCAAATTGCATCTTGCCATATTAGCTCCAAATAAGAAAGTATCTCTAATCCTAATATTTTCTAAGGTTTATTCGCTCAAGTCCACTTTCATCTCTACTAATAAATTGAGAAAATTAGATCCCCATTAAATAAATTTTTCATCAATAGCAGTCAGTTTAACTATAAATTTTAAAAATTGCACTATTTTTTCTTCATTTGCTATTTTTTTAATCAAATCCTTCTTGTTTTCTTCATTTTATTCTTTGAAGTAATTATTCTTATTATACTCAATTTCCTTTAGGTTTTTGATAACACTAGTGAGATTCCTAAAGCTAGATTATTCTTTATTTTTTTAATGACAAGATTTCTAAAAAAACTCTAGACTATTTGTGATTTTTTCTTCTCTTAGCTTTTTAATTAGTTCACTGTATAACGTTTCATCCATATCATTTAATTAAGCTAATACTTGATATAGATCATCTTTCCATTTATAATTTGGCTAAATTCTTGATTGTGAATAAATTCTTACTTTATTGTTGAAATCATCTTTTTCATACTTATTTTCAATCGTTCTATAAATTCCTTGAAATCTTGGTTCAGCCATTGTTGCACCTTTTTCAATTTCATCAAACTCTCATCTTTTTATGCAATCCAATCATTTAGACTATTCCATTCTAATATTTAAACTAATTACTCCAAGTTATTATAAGATTATTCCGCTGGATTGCAATTTTAAATCATTAATTAATAGGTTTAATCTTCTTAGTTAATCATCTCAAATATTTATATTATGGATTCTTAAAAATCTTTCAAAATTTTCTCTATCATGCTTTAGCTTTGGGAGATTATGGATTTAAAATTCGAGATCTATTATTCGAATAATTTATTTCCATCAGGCTTTAATTATTATAATTTTTCCAAAACCCTATCTTAAAATATATTAATTGGAATTGCTTATTTTACCTCAACTTTGTGTTCAAAAAGGCATTGAACACAAAGTTTTCTTTAACATTAACATATGTGAGGAGCAATGCATATCATTGATATTGGATTTAAATAATGATAAGAACAATTCATTTAACCAATTTATTTAAAATTTGAATTATTATTACCAGATTTTTAAGTTATACTACTTAAAGAGCAAAATAAAAAAAAAAAAATCTCTTAGTATTAATAAAATTCAGTATTTTATAGTAAGACATATCTATTCCAGTGCTATTTTTTATTAATTATTTTATAAATGAATTGATTTCTTTCAAGAACTTATTTGTTATAATTTTGATCTTATTTTTACTTTATGATAATAGTCAATAAAATATCTCGATTGGAAAACCTCTGTTAAACCTTTATGATATCAGATGATATTGACTCATAAATATATTTTCCATTTATAAAATATTAATAAGTCAATAACAGATTAATGTAGTGAGATTTAGAGAAGTAATTATGTTAGATATCTCAAAATCATTCTCTTGTCTTTGTTTAGGGCATGATTGAAAAGAAGGCCAAGAACTGAAGGGAATAAAATATTGAAGTACTTATGAATGAGATTCCGACATAAATGGGGATCTAGTAGGACATCAAATCTAACTAATCGGTTGGAACTTTGGGTAAAATGTAATCAAATTAGAGTCATGAAACAGAAAGAGAAGTAGCTTCAGTAAAGCTAATTAGATGTCTGAATGGGTAATATGAGAAAATAAGAATTTACAAATAGTTTGATAAATAAGGAACAAGAGGAATATTTAAGAAGATGGAAATGGAATATGCTAGAGTAAAAGGAAGTGGTATTGGAACTGGTAAATTCCATATTGTTGGTTGCCATTTTAGTGCAAGTTAATGATTGAGGAAAGTGACTAAGAGAAAATAAAGGTTCATACCAATAATGTATTTTCTTTATTTAAAAAACATCAGTATCGTTGAATTAAATATGTTGTCTTTTTGTTGTCTTGGTTTACGTTACGATGCATTATATGTTAATACAAAATTGCTTAGCAATACTTTCATTAGTGTTTTTAATACCTAAATTTGTTCGATTTAATATTGTAATATTTTCATTAAAATAATAGAGATACATAAAAAATAATAGAATAGTTTATCTCATTTCTTTAAGGATTAAAAAGTACATTAATCTTGAAATATTTGTGGAAAGTTAAGGAATATATTTGGGCAATAATGGTTTCAAAGAATGAAATTGAAAAGCATTATTGCTTAATATAGTATTTAAAAATAATTTATAAATTGTAAACGCCAGTTAAGCAATTCTTCTTACGAATATCATGACTATTTTTTTTTCCTCAATCATTTTGCATAAACTAAACTTCATTTTGATTATAAAGTCTCAAATTTGAAAATATTTTCAATCAATTTTGATTATTACTCCATAAAGCTAGACCCACATTAATTTTGACGAAACAAAATACTCTTTTCTTCTATTAATATGTTGTTTCCTATACACCTCAAATAAATAAAAGAAATGATTAGAATCAGCCAGATTAATTGATTATGGCAATTTTCTTTTATTTTTTATATTTCCATTACCAAATAAATTCAAAGAAATAATGAGAAATACAATTCTGCAATTCGAAACTTCATTATTCGATGTATGTTATTTTCTATTTTGCTATAATTATTCAAAAATACAACACTTAACTTGAGATAATAACAGTAAATTTCTTCTGACATCATAAAAGAATTGGATATCTGCTTATATCACAGTGTAGTTTAAAGTCTGCAGAAAAACTCAATTTACTTAATGACCTAAAATTAGAGATAATAACTTTATCACTGTTTTTGAAGCCTTGATCATAGAAAAAGAGGATTTTTCTAATAGTTTATCTACAGAAAAGATTGATCTTTGAAAATAAATTTCCTTTATTAAATTGTGATTAAATTATTCATAAAGAAAATTTTAATATATTATTATTTGCCCTTTTATGGAATTAGGAATGAAAAATAATTAATAATATTTGGTAATCATAAGAATTTAAACGCTTCAAGCATAGATAAATGCTATTTAATTTCTGTTTGAAGTTTGCTCTTCTTTCAAGTTGCTAACATATTTAGCTACAATATACAAATATCTATCTAAATCCATCAGATATTATTGCATTCCATATCTTTTTCATTGTTATTTCTAAAAATACTTTGAAGAACTTTTAGGTATACCTAAAAGTTGTATTCATAACCTCCTTTTCATCTAATTTTACAGTAATTGTGAATATGGTGTGATTTATGATAAAAAAGTTGAATAAATTCCATATATTGATATACTTGAATAAATGCATATTCCTACATATTCATTTAACTTCGTTGTTTTGGGGTTTAATTATCCTTAGCATTTAGTTATATGCTCATTTCTCAATGATTTTAATTGATTAAGATACCTAAATATTTATATTTTTTACAAATGTTCTTCCAAGTAAATATTAAATACGGATGGGATATTGGAGAACCTTGCATTAATCCATTCTCATACCATACTTTTTCTCTTTTTGTCTAATAGAATTATAAAATCAAATAAGGAATGTAGACCTATTGAGAATTCTACCTTATTTCATCAAGTAATTTCTAAGATTTCATAATCATTCAAAAATCTGCAAAACAAGCTTGATAAAATCTGACGATATTCAACATATATACTAATAGTTTTTTTGATTATTTAGGAATTCAGGGGAACATTTATTCATTAGGATTAATCTCACCTAATACATATCCGTTTCAAATATACTATTGGTTCATAACTCAACTAATAGTTGAAAATTCTTTGCATTTTGATAAATTGATATGATATACAATATTTAAGATCCTTATATTCAAATAACGTAGCATACAATATGCTTCATCAACGATAATTTGTTCACATTTTAACCATTTAGTAATGACTATATGTATGTTTATTAGATAAATAGTTCTAGTAAATAGTACTCAAAGACAAAATAAATTAATGTGAAAAGTTATTCTTACGGTTGTATGAATTTATTTCCTTAATAATATATAAAATAGAAATGCCTTCTTGCAAACAAGAATGGAAATAATGTTAATTTGGTAAGGATAAATCAAAATGGTGAATTTATCACATAGCAATCCATTCAATTTGAGAATTACTTTATATTTGGATAGGTGAGTGAAAATGGAAAGTAGTTGATGACTTGGGAGTTTAATTCAAGAAAAATTTTAATTAGAAAAATGAGCAATTATGAATAATGGATCATTAAATAAATTATTAATATATTTACCTCAATAAAGCTAAAAAATTACAGATATGACGTATACATTTCAAAATATAACATGTGAGATGATTATGAAAATTTTAATTAATTTGGAAAATAAATCATGTTGTATTTAAATTTCAAAAATTTAATTCTAATGATGAAATAATCTTGCAGTTTCAAAATAACTTTTCAAAATTACAATTAAATTGTAGATTTGAAAATTGCTAGTTTACATTTATTTCAAATAAGAAGTATATAATATTAGCTCTTTTACAACACAAGCTCATTAAAATGAATATACTTTTTCTTAAATTTCAAACCATAAACGTCATAGTAATTGCTAGATATACATTTTTGTTTTAAGTTGTGTTAACCCAAATCTGAGTAAAATCTCTTTGTTTGATTCCATCCTAATTATATATTGAGGAGATTGAAACTGCTATCCTGATTGTCTTGCTAAGGACCACTCAGGACTCATAGTAATATAAGTGAACTCCACTTATTTCGTACTAAATACCAAAAAAAATAATGTTTTCGAGCCATGTCCATTAAAATATATAGTTTTTTCTCAAAAAAGTAATAAAAATTCTATACTGCCTTTATTATATTAATTTGTCTTTAACAATCAGAAGAAAAATTATCATAGGTCAAATAAGAAAATAGCTTCCAAAATTTTAGTCTTAACAAAATGTCAAATAATTATTCGAAAAAAGTGAAAAACTGAATTATTAGTGGATACACTTTTTAGTTTATAAACAAATGGCTTTTTAATTTATTAGAGTCTTGAGTCTTTTACCTTTTAGTTTATTTATTTCATTTTGTTGAATTTATATTGCTCTTGATTATTGTTTTTGCTTTACTTTCACAATTGATTACTTGAATTTTTAACATTATTCTGGAGATTGTTAAATAAAATATTTACAAATTTTGAGGTTGAGACTTAAATTTCCAAGGTCTGATTAATTAAAATTGTTACTTTTATAAAATAAAGTTATTGAAATAGCTTAGTTGACTTAGTTGCGAGCCTGCTCATTATATCTGAGTTATTAGCTACCAAAGAATCCTCTTATTTTTGATTTAGCAAAGTTCTTCCTCTCAACTCTTTAATTCTTTGAACAGCAAAGAAATTGAAACTATCAAAAATCTCCCTTTCGAATAACGAGTGAATTGCTCAAAAATAAACTCCTAAATTTTTTTCAGTATATTTGAGGCTATTTTTATTATACAGGAAACTATAACAGCATTAATTATCAAATAAAAATAGATAATTTATTAAGTCTTAACAAAAATTATATTATGGATCAACTACTATTTATATTAATAATTTTTAGACCAATAATCGACAATTCCTAAGAATGTAACTATAAGAATACATTTTTTTTATCAATTTTAGATTATGATTATTTTAAAATAGCCCGAAAATTTCACTTATTCTCTGATTTTCTAAACCACAATATAATCCCCTCAAGACTGAAAATAATGCTTTTCTCACAAATGCTATAATTGCTTAGTAAATATGATGAGTTTCTTATTTCTGATTATGATTCAGAGCAACTTTGACCTTTTTCTTAAATTTTTTGTTGTCTATCTGAATTTACAATATATACATTTTTTTTTGAGGAGTCTTTTAAATGGATTTCATAGTTCAATTGTAAACAATAGATTCACAAAATTTTCTTGCTTACAAGCAAAAAATTCAAAGGACTTCTATGATAACTAGTAATCCCACTAATCATAAAATGATGGTACCTTTTTTTGAGAAAATGATTGCATGACAAATTATTGAAAAGATATAAAATTATTTCTCTAATGGAATTCTCGAATGATACTAAAGGATGAAATTAAGCTCTGAAGATAATCAAACCACAATAAATACTTTTTGGAGTTTTAGTCGCAGGAAAATCCTAAGCTTTTGTAATTTAATAAATTAGAATCATTAATGTTAATAATTTAAACCTTAACATTGTTTAAATGTCTAATTCTTGAAATTTTGCTAATATGAACTTTATTCAAATCGCTATTAATTTATTTGAGCAATCAAAGGTGAAATCATTTGATTTAAAAAACTCTTGAAATATTAAATTTTAATTAATACTAGTCAAAATAGTGTCTATTTAGAAACATTTTGGTTGAAACAGAATAAGGATGAGCATATCAAAGTTAAATGAAGAGATAATACAGATCCTCTTATACATTAAAAAAAAGAAAAAAATTAATGAATATCTGAAATCCATTATTCTTATAAAATTCAATTCTTTTCAAAATTTAAGAGTAAAATTCAAAAGGATAAAAAATCCTTGTTAAAATTTATTGAAATTATGAATGATTAATAATTTTGAAATTATAGCGTCTCTATGAAGTATTTATTGACATAATTCAGATTATTCTCTAAAATAAGTACTTTAAATTTTTATTCAATACAAATAATAAGTATCTGGAGGTCATTAACCTGAAATTTGCAACCTAAGATATAAAATTAAAAGAAAATCCTTTGATTTAAGGAATTAAAGTTGGTTATTTATTTTGATTATAGATTTAATAGTTCTATCAACGAATGTAGAAAGTATTCATAAAGTGAAAGAAATGAAAAAAAAAAAAATATTCAAAAAGTTGTTTGAAAGGCTCAGAAATAGTGGCCTTCAGATGAAGAAATTTACAACCTCTTTATTAACTTTGAGGCGGGAAAATTATTTGAGAGAAGTTTTATATAATAGTATCTCAATTCTTTTTGAATACTCACCTTTTTGGCCTTTTGAATTCTATTTGATCGTATATATCACCTCTAAGGAATAAATGGATTGAAATAGTTGTTGAATGAATGCTAAAATTAATGTTTATACATATTATTTAACTTTCAAAAGATTCTTGCAGAGGATTGTGTTTGTAAAATCTGGCAATATCTATCCATGTAAAGATAACGCTAGATGAATTACTAAGTTTTTGAAAATTCAAATGAGTAAGCAATAAGTTTTTCATCAGAAAAATCCATTTAATAAAATTATTTTAGGTAAATCAAATTCTAGTCGAAGTAGAAAGAATTCAATAAATATTCTCAAGTTGTCCTCTCAGTTCTAATCCTTTGCATAGACTAATTAAATAATGACATTGTTAGCACATTGATTTAAGAAAGTTTATTTGTTTACACTTTTAGTTTATTTAAATTTTCATAGATATTAGTCATCTTGGTCAGTCAGCAATTAAAATGCCAGAGACTTACTTAAAAATGAAACAAAAATTATCCTTTTAGCTTTTAAACTTAGCAAGTTTCCGAAATATTATTCTTAAAGTTGACATTATAGTTAACTTACCTATTCAGCAGTAAGTTTAAAGTAAAAATTTTATCATAATAAATTTGACCCTTTACCAAATTTTCGTCTCCAAATTATTGATTTCCTGTCTGAAAATGTGCCGCTCCTATGATTGAAAGCAGGAAGTTAAGTCTATCACAAATCTCTTTATTTTCCTTATTATATTCTGTTTGATGAATATTCAGTATCAGAATTTATGAGCTCCCAATTCAAATGACTCGAGAATTTGCTGTTACTATCTTCCCATCTTTCCAAATGTTTTTCTAAATATCACTATCATTAGTTGTTATTTATTCCTCATTTTGGTTTATCATTTATTTCCCCCTTAGAATTCCCCATTTCTCAAGTATCTTATTCTTCTTGTAAAATGTATCCATGCTTGTGTCTAATTAATAATATCATCTTTACACTATGAATAATCTTTTGACAAAAAATATCCTTAAAGTCCCTATTTAAATTCCAGTTTTCATTACAAAAATATTAATAGTTATTCAAAGTTGAAACCTATTGACAGTATTTTCTTTCATTTATTTAATATTCTACAGGCCAATGAAGTGGTTTTATTTAATCAAATTTTTAGATCTCTTACCCTTGTTAAGTTCATCTCTTTTCAATTATATCTAAATTTACTTTTTTAAAATTGTATTATATAAGATTTAATTTGATTAGTAATTAGTATTTGAAGTTTTTTCTGTTAATTTTTTTAAATTTATTATTTTATAAATTCCAGAGATTTAATTTTAAATATTTTTATTTCCACAACTTCACTGATTAAGAAAATAATTAGGATTAAAGATTAGCCTAACAATAGAAATTTTTCTTTATCTTTTTAAAAGGTAAATTTTAATTGTAATTAATTTGAAATTGTCTAATTAAATAATAATGTGAATATTAGAAAGATTTGAAAAATGTAGTTTTCTATGAAACCATTTTCTAAAGTTAATCTTTCGAATTGGAATATAATATTATTTTTCAATCATTTAAATTTTTATTCTATTCATAATTTGCATCTATCTGTAAATTATTTACATTGCGATAACTCAAGGCTTTTAAATAAACTTGCTATTTTCAGCTAACCATAACAATATTACATATAATCAATATTTTATGAAAAAATTGATAATTAGAGTAAAATAATCTTGCTTTTATGTAAAGTTAATCTTGAAGTTATAGTCTACAATTGCCAATCATAATCATTCAAAAGGACTTGAATTTGAGATTTGATTTTTCGATTATTATACATTTTACTTTGAGAATGGTTTATAAAATGCTCACCCTAGCCTCATATATTATTTAATATCAATAAATAATTGACCCTTATTTTCAAAGCAGTTTCGAATCACTTAGCGATGTGCAAACAAAAATTATCAAAAGTGGTTTTTTCATTTCATAATCATACTTAAATACAACAATATTCAAATTGATAAATCCAATGTATAATTTGAGTAAAAGGATTTAGAATTAAATTATGTTTACAATAATAATAGGAAACAATTTCATATATTAGGTGTAAAGATACTAACACTCATATAACATTATGAGATAGTTAAATTGTAACGACAACAATTTTAAAATTTGGAATGTCAAGAAAAAAGATACAACTCAGGTTCAAAGGGAAGCACTCCATCATTCAGACCATTAACAATCATCATCACCCTATGAGGCCAACTATGAAGATTCTTTTTGGGTTTGGGGTTGGGGTTTGGGTTTGGGTTTTGGGTTTGGGTT